TGTTCTTATCTTATCTCTTTTGCACGGGTGGCACAGTGGCTCAGTGTTTAGCACTGCTGCCTCACAGGGGCTTGGGTTTGATTCCACCCTTGGGCAACTGTCTGTGTGGAGTTTGCACATTCTCCTAGTGTCTGCATGGGTTTGCTCCGGTTTCCTCCCACTGTCCAAAGATGCGCAGACTAGGTGGATTGGCAACGCTAAATTGCCCATAGTGTTCAGGGATGTGTAGATTAGGTGAGTTATAGAGGGATGGGGTCTGGGTGGCATGCTGTGAGAGTCAGTGTGGACTTTGTTGGGCTGAAGGGCCTGTTTCCTCATTGTAGGGAGTCTAAGTCTAACTATAGCTGCATTTTGTGTTATCTTGAATCTACAGAGCTACTATTTGTGAAGAATGCATTTATCAAATATTTTCCCATGCTCTCTAACAACTGTCAGCCATGGTCTGCTACTAATGCCATGTGTAGCTGTCAGCCATCTTGTGCCGCTCAGTCATGGGCACCCCTAACACTTACCCTTCACACTGACATAAACATCCTTGCCCTGAACTCTCATTATCTGGCTCTTGAAAGCCTCTCACCTGCCAGACAACCCTTTATCTATGACCAGCCAAATCAAATAAATTTTTAAAGTTCCTGTTTAATACCACCAAACTGACCTTGCCAATTTAGAACTTTAACTTGTGGATCAGACCTATCCTTCTCCATAACTATTTAATGTCATAGAATTATGGTTATTGCACCCAAAGCAGTCCCCCACTAACACCTCAGTGATTTGCCCTGTTTTATTTCCCATGTCAAGTTTTGCCCCTTCTCTAGTAGGGCAATCTATACATTGCTTGAGAAATTTTCTTGAGCGTACTTAGTAAATTCCTTCTTATCCAAACATATTAACACTATTGTAGTCCCAGTCTGTGTTTGGAAAGATTAAATCCACTACTGTTCTTACAGCTATCTGCAAACTCACTACATATAGGTGGCACGGTGGCTCAGTGTTTAGCACTACTGCCTTACAGTACCAGGGACCCAGGTTTGATTCCAGCCTCAGGTGACTGTCAGTGTGGAGTTTGCACATTCCCCTGTGTCTGCATGGGTTTTCTCTGGGTGCTCCGGTTTTCTCCCACAGTCCAAAAGATGTGCAGGTTAGGTTGATTGGCGATGCTAAATTGCCCATAGTATCTATGGTGAGAAATGCAGGGATAAGGTAGGGTGGGATGCTCTTCGGAGGGGTGGTGTAGACTCGATGGGCCAAATGGCCTGCTTCTCCACAGTAGGGATTCTATGGTTCTATGATATTTGCTCTTGAATTTCCTGCTAACTATTGGGGGCCTACAGTAAAATCACAAAGTAATCACCCCCTTCTTATTTCTGAGTTCCACCCATATGGCCTCACCAGGCAATTGTCCAGAAATACCCTCTCTACGCGATGTCGTGATGTTTTCCCAAATCAAAAACACTATCCCCTCTTCTTTCTTTTCTATTGCATTCGTACCGCGGAAGATTGAGCTGCGAGTCCTATCCCTCTCTCATCCATGTTTCTGTAATAGCTAATAATTTTCCAGTCCTATGTTCCCATGCTTGCCCTGAGTTCATCTGTCTTACTTGCCAGGCCTCTTGCATTGAAACAAAAGCACTTTAATTCAGTCTTCCCTCATTCCCTGCCATGCTCTTACCTGCCTTGTCTATTTAACTTGCTCTCTTTAACTTCTGCACTAGCGTCAACATTCTCTTTTGTCTCACCCTCTGTCACACTAGTTTAAAGCCTTGCAAGTAACTCTAGCAAATCTCACTCCCAGGATATTGGTTTCTCTCCAGCTCAAGTGCAACCCATCCTTCTTGTACAGTCACCTCTGCCCCAGAAGAGATCCCTGAATCGGAATCTGAATTCCTGCCCTTTGCACCAGCTCCTCAACCATGTATTCACCTGCCCTATCCTCCTATTCCTGCTCTCACTAGCACATGGTACCAGAATTAATCCAGAGATTAATACCCTTGAGGTCCTGCTTTTTAACATCCTGCCTAACTCTGCAGGACCACATCCCTTTTTCTCTCTATGTCTTTGGCACCAATATGAACATTGGCCTCTGGCTGCTCATAACCCGCTTTGAGAAATTGCTGCCACCATTCAAGACATCATTGAACCCCGCACCAGAGAGGCAACACACCATCCTGGAGTCTTGCTCGCCGCCATAGAAACACCTGTCTATGCCCCTGACTAGAGAGTCCCCTATTACAATTGTTTACTTGGGCTTTGCCATACCCTGCTTTACAGCAGAGCCTGACATGGTGCCACAGACCTGGCTGCTGCTGCTATTTTCCCCTGAGAGGCAGGGGCAGCACAGTGGCTCAGTGGTTAGCACTGCTGCCTCACAGTGCCAGGGACCCGGGTTCAATTCCACCCTCGGGCGACTGTCTTTGTGGAGTTTGCACGTTCTCCCCGCGTCTGCGTGGATCCCCTCCGGGTGCTCTGGTTTCCTCCCACAGTCCAAAGATGTGCAGGCTAGGTGGATTTGCTATGATAAGTTGCCCATAGTGTTCAGAGATGTGGAGGTTAGGTGGGTTATAGGGGAATGAGTCAGTGTGGACTTGTTGAGCTGAAGGGGATGATGACAACGACAACCTCGTTAGAGAAGTGGATAGCCACTGGTGACTTCTACACTACCTACCTTTCTGTCCTGGTGGTCACCAATTTACCTGGCTTAATCTGCAGAGTGACCACCTCCCTTAAGCTATCACACTTTCTGCCTCCTGTATGCACCTGCCACTCCATCCGATCCATGTGGTCGGAGAGGAGCTATAGTTGGAAACACTTCCCACAGGCATATTCACCAGAGACACTTGACTGCTCTCTGATGTCCCACATTTGACAGGAGGAGCATACCACTTCACTGACTGCCATCGCTGCCCCTTTAACAACTAGCGGACTCAGGAAAATTAGCATCCTACTTTGACCTTACCTTGTTGCTGCTCACCCTCTTTGACAAAGCCCGTTAATTACCTAAGCCCACATGTAGATCGACCAGCAGCACTTTGACCACAAAAGGCCCCTCTGCTAAAACCTGCCTCCCTTTTATTCACTGCCTGGGTGGTCACTAGGGAAACTACCTTGGTGGGGGTGTGGAGGAGATTTACCAGGATGTTGTCTGGGATGGAGCAGTTTAGATATGAACAGAGGCTGGGTATCTTAGTAGTTTTCATTGGAGAAAAGGCTGAGGGGGCAGCAGACGGGGTAGTATAAGATCACATGGGATCAAGGTGGAGAGAAAGCACAAAAACAGAAATTGCTCAGTAGTTAGCACTGCTGCCTTACAGTGCTAGGGACCCTGGTTCAATTCCAGCTTTGGGTCTGTGTGGAGTTTGCACATTCTCCCCACGTCTGTGTGGGTGTCCTCCCACAGTCGAAAGATGCGCAGGTTAGGTATATTGACCATGCTAAATTGTCCATAGTGTCCAGGGATGTGTAAGTTAGGTGGATGAGCCATGGGAAATGCAGGGTTACAGGGATAGGGTAGGGGGCAGGGTCTAGCTGGATAGTTACACTTAACTCAGAATTATATTCCAAATGTCAAGCATCATTTTCAGTTTAAACAGGCAGTTATTCCTTTTGATATTCATTTAAGTTCTTTTAATCCTTGAGGCATTCTTTAATAACATGGGCTGGATTCAAAATTGTATAACTGTAAGGTTGTAACACAAATAAACTACTGTAAGATGAAAGGTTTTCCGTGTAAAATGTTACCGACTCTAGGTGACGTATGCAAATGCACTTGGAAGAGATTGAATGGGCAAACTGATGATAGAGTGATAAAGTCATAGGGATATATAGCACAGAAACAGATCCTTTGGTCCAACTCATGCCAACCAGATATCCTGTATAAATTTAGTCCCATTTGCCAGCATTTGGCCCATATCCCTCTAAACCCTTCTTATTCATGTACCTGTCCAGATGCCTTTTAAATATTGTAATCGTATCAGCCTCCATCACTTCATCTGGCAGCTAATTCCATATACGCACCACCCACTATGTGAAAAAGCTGCCCCTTATTTCCCTTTTATATCTTTCCCCTCATTCCTATGCCCTCTAATTTTGGACTCCTCAACCCGGGGAAAAAGACCTTGCCTATTTACTCTATCCATGCCCCTCATGATTTTATAAACATCTACAAGGTTTATTTAAAACCTCAGCCTCTAACGCTCAAGGGAAATTGAGCCTCTCCCTATAGCTCAAACCCTCCAACCCCAGCAACATCCTCAAATCTTTTCTGAATCCTTTCTAGTTTCACGACATCCTTTCCATAGAAGGGAGACCAGAATTGCATGCAACACTCCAAAAGTGGCTGAACCAACGTCCTGAACAGAATCAACATGACCTCTCTGTACCATCTCAACATGAACTCCTATTCTCAATGGACTGACCCAATATAGGCAAGCATACCAAATGCCTTCTTCACTATCCTATCTACTTGTGACTCCACTTTCAAGGAACTATGAACCCGCAGTCCAAGGTTACTTTGTTCAGCAACATTCCCCAGGACCTTACCATTAAGTCTATAAGTTCAGCCCTGATTTGCCTTTGGAAAAGATTTGGCTGAATAAATTTGGAAGTAAAAAAATGGCAGAAATCTCAGGGTTCAGTTTCTATATTCATTGTTGGCATCAGTTCCACTTGTCTCTTTAACTGAAATCAGATTTACATCACATTCTGCTCCCTCTGATTAACATCATTTGCTGTTGAGCCTAATTTATATTCATTCTGATTTTGTTCTTTTTCTTTTGTGTTTTATCATTTCTCTTCTTGCTGCTCATCTTTTTTCCCCATCTCATTGGATCTGTTCCTCTCCAGTTTAAACTTCCAGCTGTCTTTTTTAAAAATGTATATCTACCTGCCACCTCATTGCAGCTGCTGACATCGCAAGTCTTCATCGACCAAGTTTGAACTTGCTGAAACAAGACACATTTTGTAGAAACATTTCAGCTTGAACTGATCAGGACATTTTGCAAGATTTACCAGAGTGAAGGGAAGATGACTTTTATTCAGTACAAGAGGAGTGTGTTGATTGGTAGAGGCATTGGAATGGTGAATGGAAAACAAACTTTCAGTATCTACCTGTGTCTAGCAGTTTCATTATAACAAATGTTTCATTGAGATCACCTCTCGTTCTTATAAACTCTGGATAATATAGGCCAAATTTATAAAACACAAAAATTGTCAGTTGTTCATTTGCTGAGGTGATTGTACATTTTAATAATTTGGAGAACTTGTGCAGTTTAAGGTTGAGCAAGCTTTCTGATTAAATTGAAATATGCCTATCATCTGTGAATATCTAGAAATCCATAATGACCATAAGAAACTGTATTCCTTTGGAGCACTAACATTTTTGGTTCATTGTTGAACATACATTATGATGAGTAGCAAATTGTGGGAACAGCAGTTTTCTCATCTTTCAATATATGATTTTGCAATTTACTGGAAGTCAAATCATAACTGTAGCTTTCCTTTATCTTTGTTCTATTTTCTTTGTTTTCTTCTTGCCAGGCTCCAGCTGACTTTTTGGTCTTTCTCCATCTATGATGCTGCTGTTTATTTTTGTTTTACATTTTCTTTTTAATCCGTCACTGCTGTCTCAGTTCATTTTTAATTGGCTACTGTCCATTCAATTGTTTTCTTCTGTGTGCCACTCTGGCTGTATGCTTAATGTACCTTTCCACTCTGCTGCAAATCCTGTCAAATCCCTTTTTGAAAGAAATGAGAGAAAACGAATGAATGAGCTATTCAGAGTGATAAAATCACGGAATGAGGCCACTTGGCCCTTTGAGCTCCTGCTGCCTCTGTACAATAATTTAGGTAGTCCCACTCCCTGTAACCCTGCATTTTCTTTCCCTTCTGGTGTTAACATAATCCCCTTTGAAAGCCATAATTAAGTCAGTTTCGATTACCTTTGGGCACTGCATTTTAGACCCTAAGCAATCACCGTACAAATACTTTTGCTCATGCTGCCTTTGATCACTTTAAAATTGCAACATCTAATTCCTGACCTTTGTCAATCAGAATAGTTTTGATTTAGATGATATGGAACACTATCATTTCTTTTATCAGCTTTCTTTTCTTTAGAAAAAGCAGCAACAGCTTCTGAAATCTATCCACAGAACTGAAGTCCCTCTTCCCTGGAACCAATCTATTTCTTTTCTGCAGCCTTTCTGAAGTCTTCATATCCTTTCCAAAATGCAGCACCCAGAATTAAGCTTAAACTTCAATTGAAGCTGAACCAGTGTTCTTTAGGTTTCATCATTGTATAGAATGGGGTGAAGGGCTAAACTTGTTGATGATATTCAACAACTGCATGACCTTGAAATGAGTCCTGTGAACATTCCTGTATGTGCCAAAGCTGGCACAATCAACATGTTTTTCTGTAGTTGCTTTTTCTGCACCTGGCTGTTTGTTACACCATATAAGAGAGCGTTTCGTTCCAAGTTGCTGGACTTCACTTTGGACCAGAATCGCAAACAGTGCCAGGAACAAGCTCAGGCTCCAGACCAACTGTTGATTGAGGGGTCTCTGATGGGCTTATTGTTTTTTTGCTTCTGTTTTCATTCTTTTTATTTACTTAATAAATGTTCCTTTTTATTGATCTTTTATTATTACTAAATAAATATTCATATTTAAGCAAATTGCAGTTGTCAAACCTTCTCGTAACTGCATTTAACTGAATCTGAAAAGAACCATTTGGATATACTCTGATCCAAGACCTTTCTGTGATAAGAATGGGTTCCAGAAAATGTTTAAGTGAAGGAAAGCAACCTGATGCTTTGGAGACCTTCCGTATTTTAAGTTAGAATGCAACAGCCTCTGGATTCGGATGTTAGCAAAATTAAGAGCCCTGAAAGGATGGTGGACAGTTATAACTAGAAAAAGAGAGAATCAGAGGCCAGGTTTCTGCACTGTGCAAGTGCACTGAAACTTGCAGAAATATTACCTCTTTGTGGTCTGGTTTGAACACCTCATTTTTTGGTTGCTAAATGTCATTTTCTACCATTTGTGTGCTTTTGTTCCCTGGTGATACTTTGAAGTTTTAGTTTGCATTTTGGGGAATGTCTGGTGATTTGAAATGATGGTGTGTGCCTATGTGTACCTGTATTAGCATGGAGCATGCTTGGTTAATGTAATGTTCTCTAAAAACCATGAGTGGTTGTGTAAAGCAAAAATTTATGACAAATTATTGATCTAAAATTTGTATTTTAAATCATGGTAAAATTTAATTTCTTGAAATTGGTCACAGATGATTAAAATTAAATCGGAAAAGAATCTTGGGTAGATTTTAATCCCAGAAATTACCATTTTGGGAATTTCATTTTCTGCCAGGGTGAACTTCCAAATATTGTTTTAAAACATGAGTGAATCTTCAATTCCAGTTGATAAAATTAACTCATTATTACTGTCCAAGCGATAGAACTATGATGTTGTGACCATTAGAGAGACTTGGTTGTTGGATGTTCTGGGGTATAGATGTTTCAAAAGAAATAGGGAGAGAGGTAAAAGGTAGGGGAAATGGCATTGCTAATCACAGGTGGTATCACAGCTGCAGAAAGGGAGGTCGTGGAGGAGGGTTTGTCCACTGAGTCAGGGTGGAAGTCAGAAATAGGAAAGGAGCAGTCACTTTATTGGGAGTTTTCTGTAGACCCTCCAATAGCAACAGATACTGAGGAACAGATTGGGAGACAGACTTTGGAAAGGTGCAGAAGTAATAGGGTTGTCGTCATGGGTGAATTCAACTTCCCTAATATAGACTGGAACCTCCTAAGTGTAAATAGTTTGGATGGAGCAGATTTTGTCAGGTGTGTCCAGGAAGGATTTCTGACTCAATATGTAGATAGGCTGACTAGAGGGGAAGCCATATTGGATTTGGTGATGGCGATGAACCAGACCAGGTGTCAGATCTCTCTGTGGGAGAGGATTTTGGTGATAGTGATCACAACTCTGACCTTTACTATAGTCATGGAGAGGGATAGGAGCAGACGGTATGGGAAAACATTTAATTGGGGGAGGGGGAATTACAATGCTATTAGGCAAGAAATACAGACCACCAATTGGGATCAGATGTTCAGGGAAATGCACAACAGAAATGTGGAGGTTGTTTAGGGAGCAGTTGTTACAAGTACTGGATAGGTTTGTCCCACTGAGGCAAGGAAAGGATGGTTTGGTGAAGGAACCTTGGATGACAAGACATGTGGAACATCTAGTCAAAAGGAAGAAGGAAGCTTACTTAAGGTTGAAGAAGTAAGGATCAGACAGAGTTCTAGAGGTCTACAAGGTAGCCAGGAAGGAACTGAAGAATGGACTTAGAGCTAGAAGGGGAGGGATGAGAAAACCTTGGTGATCAAGGAAAACCCCGGTGATCAAGGAAAACCCCAAGGCATTCTATGCTTATGTAAGAAACAAGAGGATGGCTAGAGTAGAGGGTAGGGCCAATCAGGGATAGTGGAGGGAATGTGTGCATGGAGTCAAAGGAGGTAGGGAAGGTCCTTAATGAACACTTTGCTTCAGTATTCACCGGTGAGAGGGACCTTGACGTTAGTTAGTGACGGCAGTGTGAAACAGGCAGATCTGCTCAAACAGGTTGATGTTAAGGAGGATGTGCTGGAAATTTTGAAAAACATGAGGATGGACAAGTCCCCTGGGCCAGACAGGATACACCCAAGGTTGATATGGGAAGCAAGAGAAGAGATTGCTGCCCCTTTGGCAAATATATTTGTGTCCTCACTGTCCACTGGAGAAGTACCAGAAGATTGGAGGGTGGCAAATGTCATTTCCTTGTTCAAGAAAAGGAATAGGGATAAACCTGGGAATTACAAACCAGTCAGTTTTACTTCTGTGTTGGCAACTTATTGGAGAAAATTCTGAGAGATAGTATTATGATTATTTGGAAAATCAAAGTTTGATTAGAAACAGTCAGCATGGCTTTGAGAGGGGCAGGTCATACCTCAAGCCTTATTGAATTCTTTGAGGTTGTGACAAAACACAATAAAGGCAGAGCAGTGGAAATGGTGTATATGGATTTTAGCAAAGCATTTGATAAGGTTCCACATGGTAGGCTCATTCAGAAAGCAAGGAGGCATGGGATTCAGGGAAATTTGGCTGTCTAGATACAAAACTGGCTGTCCAATAGAAGGCAGATGGTGGTATTAGATGGAAAATATTCAGCCTGGAGCTTGGTGTTCAGTGGTGTTCCACAGGGATCTGTTCTGGGACCTCTGCTCTTTGTGATCTTTATATAGACTTGGATGAGGAAGTAGAAGGGTGGGTTGGTAAGTTTACTTTTGGCACGAAGGTTGGCAGAGTTGTGGATAGGTGAAGGGCTGTTGCAGGTTGCAACGGGACATTGACAGGATGCAGAGCTGGGCAAAGAAGCAGCAGATGGAATTCCACCCAGAAGAGTGTGAAGTGATTCATTGTGGAAGGTCAAATTTGAATGCAGAATACTGGGTTAATGGCAGGATTCTTGGCAGTGTAGAGGAAAAGAGGGATCTTGGGGTCCACATCCATAAATCCCTCAAAGTTGCTACCCAAGTTGATAGGATTGTAAAGAAGGTGTATGGTGTGTTGGCTTTCATTGGCAAGGAAATTGAGTTTAAGAGCCATGAGGTTATGCTGCAGCTGTATAAAACTCTGGTTAGACCACACTTGGAATATTGTGTTCAGTTCTGGTCACCTCATTATAGGAAAGATGTGGAAGCTTTAGAGAGGGTGCAGAGGAGATTTACCAGGATGCTGCCTGGACTGGAGGGTAGGTCTTATGAGGAAAGGTTGAGGGACCTAGGGCTTTTTTTCATCATAGCGAAGAATGAGAGGTGACTTGATAGAGGTGTACAAGATGATGAGAGGCATAGATAGAGTGGATAGTCAGAAACTTTCCCCCCCGCCAGAGTGGAAATGACTATTACGAAGGGGCATAATTTTAGGGTGATTGGAGGAAGATATAGGGGAGCTGTCAGAGGTAGATTCTTCACAGAGTGGTGGGTGTGGGGAATGTGCTGCTGGCAGTGGTAGTGGAGTCAGATACTTGAGATTTTTAAGAAACTCTTGGATAGGCACATGGAGGATAGTAAAATGTAGGGTATGCAGAGTAGATTGATCTTAGTAGGATAATAGGTCGGCACAACATTGTGGGCCGAAGGGCCTGTACTGTATTGTTCGACATTCTATGTTCTATTTTCTATGATTGTAGGGACATTGGAATGTCGCAACACAGTGATGGATGTGGCACACTCAAACCATCAAACCATTCATCAATAACACATTAGTTTTAGGGAAGTACTGCAGAAATATTATTTGTCGAGAGTGTCAGGAATCTCAAAACCACTGAGCCTGGATTCACTTATGCATATTATGGCAAAAACTATATTAAGACTCACATGACCTGGTATTCTAAAACATTTAAATTGGATAGTTACCTGAAAATTTAAAGGGATTCTGAGAAATGATAAAGTGCATGCACAGTCCCAATGCATACAAAATGTCCAAATTCAACATCCTGTTTACCCTCTTAAAGTTACTAACATTTTTTGTATGCATTGGGCATCAGACTGGTTTTATTTCTAAAATAGGAATTTATAAAATGCCACATTGACTGTCCAAAGCTCATCCGCTTCATCCTTGATCACAACATATTCAGCTTCAGCAACTAGTTCTTCATCCAAACATATAGAACAGCCGTGGGAACAAGATTCACACCCCA